AGAAGGATAACACAAGTACCCCTGTGGCCACCACCACTGAGACTGTGCTGGGTTAGACATGAAGCCAGCGCAGCACCGGGTGTCACAAAAGGCCTGTGGTAACCACTGTCTGGCTACCACCTATGTTCACTCAAGGCCCTAAGGCTCTACAGTCAGCAGGCAGCAAAGCCAGCCAGACTTGTATCCTTTATTTCAGGGTGCCAAGTATCCACCAGTCCTGGGCAGGTCCAGAGATGCCACTTGGGAACCAGGGCCTAGGAATGAGAAACTTTGGGAATCTACCTGGTGCTCTGTTCTACTGCAGCTGAGCCAGCACCCAAGCCCAAGGCAATGTTTTTCCCACTCTTCCCTCTCCATTCCTCAAGCAGAGGTGTCTCTCCTTGTGGCCACCACTGCCCCAGGCCCATGATGAGTACTGCCTGGCTACTGCTGATGTTTATTCGAGGATCAAGGGCTCTTGAGTCAGCCTGTGAAGGCTGCCTGGCATAGGGCTCTCCTTTCAAGTCAGTGGGCTCCACTATGGCCCAGGGCAGGTCCAGAAATGTCATCCAAGAGCCAAACCCTGGAACTGGGGACCCCAAGTGCCCACTTGGTTGTCTACCCCACTGTGGCTACACTGGTACCTAAGCTGCAAGACAAAGTCCCCTTTACCCTTCCTCCTACTTTTCTCAAGCAGAAGGAGCCCCTTCCCATAGCCACCACAGCTGGAAAGGTGCTTGGTGACACCTGAAGCCAGCATGTCTCTTAGTCTCACCTAAGGCCAATGGCAAGTACTGCCTTGGTTCTACTGCAAATTATTCAGGAACCTAGGGCCCTATAGTGAGCAGGTGCTGAATGCTGCCAGGACTGGGTCCCTCCCTTCAAGGCAATGGGTTCCCTTCTGGCCCAAGGTGCCTAGAAATGTTGTCAGGGAGCTGGGGCCTGAAATGGGAGACTCAGGACTCTGTCTTGTGCCCTCCTATCCTGCTGTGGCTGAGCTGATATCCAAGCTGCAATACACAGTCTTGTTTACTCTTCCTGCTCCTCTCTTCGAGCAAAAGAAAAGAGTCTCTTTCAAAGCTGTAAGCTGTGAGGCCTGGTGTTGGCAGAGGGATGATGCAAGCACTCCCTTGGCTGCCCCAGCTGCTGTCTCACTAGCTCATATGCCCTCCGCCAAGTCCACTGGCTTTATGTCAAGCCCAGCACAGCATCAGGAGTTCCCCTAGAATTGCAGTCCTTGTATCCTAGACTGATTTTCAAGTTATTTAGAAACCCAGAGCACTTTAATGCATGGTTGTGAGTCTTTCTGGAACTCAGGTTCCCACGACTGGGATGTATAATTCTTTTTTGGCAAGGGCTGGTCTAAATGCTCCCTCTGTGGGTGCTGGCTGAGTTCTGCAGCTGTGCTGGTACCCAAGCTGGTGTTGTTTCCACTGTGACACGGCAGCACTGGGTTCCAACGCAAAGTCCCACAATGGCTGCACTCTCCCTCCCGCAAGTGCAGAGATTCTCTCTGTGCCATGTGGCAGCTGCTGGGTGATGAGGTAAGGGTGGTGTCAGCCATTCAAGGCCGTCTTTTCTACCTTCTTCAGTGCCTCTTTCAGTGATATGAAGTTAAAACCAGGTATTGTGATCATTCATTGGAGTTTTGGTTGTTATGAGGGTGCTTTTTTGTGTGTGTGTGGATAGTTGTTCAATCTGGTGTTCCTGCAGGGAGGACGATAATCAGTGGAGTGTTCTATTCAGTCATCTTGCTTCATCTCCCTTGGTAACCTCACATTTTATGAGTGTTAAGTACTTTGAGTTCACTGTGCTTTTAAATTTTGTTTTGTTTCTGGCTGCTTAAAAATTTCCCCCATCTCTGGCTGGGTGTGGTGGCTCAGGCCTGTAATCCCAGCACTTTGGGAGGCTGACGCAGGTGGATCACTAGGTCAGGAATTCAAGCCCAGCTGGCCAACGTAGTGAAACCCTGTCTCTACCAAAAATACAAAACTTAGCAGGGTGTGGTGGCACATGCCTGTAGGCCCAGCTACTCGGGAGGCTGAGGCAGGAGAATCACTTGAACCTGGGAGGCAGAGGTTACGGTGAGCCGAGACTGCACCATTGCACTCCAGCCTGGGCGACAAGAGTGTCTCCATCTCAAAAAAACAAACAAACAAAAAAAAAACCGTCCCCCATCTCTTGAAACCAGCAATGCAAAACAAATATAATTTAAGCAGGACCCAGTTGTTTTGAAACAGGAAGACTTCTCAAACATCTAGCCTCAAGCATTTAGCAGGGAAGCTCTACGCATCGCTTTTCACCTGTTGCAATCTGGCTCACTACATGTCTGAAACTGCTTATGCCAAGTCACTCAATGTTTTTGTTGTTGCCAAATTTAACATGCACTTTTAACTTCTTTTCGTATGTGAGCCCCTGCAGTCCCAAATGCTCCCTTTTTCTTGAAACCCTCTCATTCCTTTGATTGTGTGATATAATTATCTCCTAAATATTCTCCTATCTTACTGGCTGTGCATTTTTAGCCTTCTTGGTGAGGTCCTTTTAACCTTTCTACACGTAGTGATGGCCTCAGAAATCTATCTGCGACTTTCTTGCTTTCTTCACTTTCTACTTTGTATTCTTTCCTGAAATAATTTCATCAAATGCTGTGGCTTAGTACCCTGAATTCCCTCATTGTGTCTTGCACTTCCAGGCTTTTATACATGCTTCTCCCTCTGTTTGGACCATGTCCTCTCAAACTTTCAAAAACCAGATTAACTAACGTGTCTTTCTAAGAAAGACCCAACTCAGGTCTGTTCTCCTCCAAGATATCTTTGCTGACAACACCTAATGTACATGCTCCCAGAGCACCTTGTATCTACCTCTGCCATTTTATACACCATATTGTAATCATCTGTTTACTGATCTGTCTTCCTGACATAGTTATGCTGTATCCTCAATGTCTAGCACAGGGCTTAGTCGATGGTAGATAAACACAGGTTTTTTGAATAAACAAAAGAACACCTGAATAAGTAAATGAATGAATAAGTGATTTTGGAATGGGTAATTTGGGGTTTGGAAAGAGGGTAAAAGGCGATGAAAGAAGAGGAGAAGAAAAAAGGGAAATGACTGGTATACTTAAGCAGCTTGTTTTGTTACCCTTGCTTATGTGGAATAAAGTTATCATTTCATTTCATCAAAAGTTTATTGAGCATCCAGTATGTGCTAGGCACTCTGCTAGATGCTAGGAATACAAAGATGAAGATCAAAACAACATAAAAACAAACAAACAAAAAAACCCCACTTCTGTACTTACCCCTCCCCACCCCCATTTTAAGGCAGATTTGGCTTAAGCCTGGGAAGCTGGCCCCTCAGGGATTCAGCACCGGGGAGTGGCATGCTCTCATCTCACCCTAACCTTCACCTGTGCATCTCAAGGTTGACCAGCAGGTACTCCTCCTCCAAGTCCTGCCTCTTCCACTTTCCTGAGAAACTTTCCCCTACATGCATTTTCTCATTGTGGATGAGGCACCTGGGAAGTTTAGGGGAGCTGCAAAGGCACATCTGCTCAAATGAGCCTGGGGACATGCCTAGGGACAGGGAGCTGAGAGAGGCATGTTGTTGGGGTCAGGGCAGAGGGGGCAAACTAGAAATGTCAGTGCCTTTGGGGCTGAGACAAAACGTGCCCTGGTGTGGAGGTGATGAGTATTGGGGGTCTTGGAATTGCTCCATGGGATGGTGGAGAATCAGCTCTGGAGTCTAGGAGGTTGGAGAGGGGCCAGGGATGCAAGGACGCTTGGAGGCATTCAGGAGGAGAGGACGGAACACACAGAGGGCCTCCTTCTCTTTCAGCTGTTTAATTGCCCTCTCTCCTCACACAGTAGATTACTGCTCCTCCTATGAACTGTTCAATAGATGGTGGCATGGGCACAGCCCGGCTACACAGTGGCCAGGCCTCTTTATTCTGATGTTAGTGTGATTAGGGAGTCTGCCCTTGTTCTGTTCCCTGGGATCTGAGCATGTGGGAGCAGGGCAGATGGGTGGCAGGAGGCCAGGGGTTGGATCATGTTTCCCCGAAATGCTGGGAAGCAATAAGCCTCCTCCGCCCCTCCCCCCCCCCACATCTCTCTGGAGATTAGGACTTGTTCTCACAGCTGGAGGAAGCTCAACAACCTTCCTGAGGGCAATGATTGTTTGAAAGGCTTATTTTGTAAGGAAGCCAGGATGAAGATATGAGTTTGATGAGCTAAAACAATTCCTCACTTGGTCTGGATTTCTGGGCCAGGGGAGTAGGTGGAATTCACTTCTCTAAACGAATAAGCCCATCCATCTCTTTTATTCAGGAACAGAGACAGAAAGAATGCTTGGCATGGCATGCCTCTGAGGGAGGCTCTAGGAGGAGGCCAAGCTGGCAGGCTCGAGTTCTTTGCCCTTGCTAGGGCCCAGGTCAGAGGGAAAAGAAATGAGCCGGGCGCAGTGGTTCACGCCTGTAATCCCAGCACTTTGGGAGGCCGAGGCTGGCGGATCACGAGGTCAGGAGATCAAGACCATCCTGGCCAAAATGGTGAAATCCTGTCTCTACCAAAAATACAAAAACTTAGCCGGGTGTGGTGGCCGGCGCTTGTAGTCCCAGCTGCCTGGGAGACTGAGGCAGGAGAATTGCTTGAACCCAGGAGGCGGTGTTTGCAGTGAGCAAGGTTGGCACCACTTGCACTCCAACCTAGGCGAGAGCGAGGCTCTGTCTTAACAAACAAACAAAAAAGAGAAATGTATTTGTACCCTTCTCTCACCAACTTGCAGGTCCCCAGGTACCAGGTGCTCAGGGGAAAAGGCCTTCACAATGATCCCCCAGCTCAGAACAGCCCCTGCACACCCAGTTACCGGCATCTGGCTTCTCCTTAGCTAAGTACAACTGTGAATTTCGGGAAAGCGGCATCTCTAATCTGAACTTCCCAAAAAAAAAAAAAAAAAAATGCCTCAGAACTCAGGCATTTGTTCAGAAGGAAGGGTGGTGAGTGGGAAACCTCATAGCTCCCTGGGAAGAGCACAGGATAGTCACGGGCATTAGGTTACTGATGTTAGTTTCCATAAATCCCTTTCGGGTATTGGACCGGAAATTTAATAATCTATGTGGTTCTAAGAGGGCACAACCTATACCAACTGAGAACACAGCCAGTAAACCGGAAGCAATAGCGAGCCGCTTTCACCACCTCTGCACTGCCGCCTCCGCGCACTCGCCTCCGTCTGCGCATGCTCACACAGGTCCACACCCGAGACATCAGCGCCCCGCCGGGACCTCCCCTCGCCCAGAGCGCACCGTCCCCCGGCTTCCCAGCCCTCCCCAAGGCAGCCGGCCGCAGACCGCAGGCGCCTCGCAGGGGGTCCCGAGGAGGCTCAGGCGCTGATCTCCACCGGGCCGGCCTCATCCTGCTCCCGGATTATGTGCACGCCCGCAGTCCGCAGTGTGCGCGAGGCGCTGCGCGAGCGGCCGGGCGAGCTTGGGGCCCTAGGGGGCGACGTGTGCGTCCGGCCGGTGGCGGGGGAGCGCGCTGGGGAGCGTGGGTAGCGGCGGGCGGAGCGGATGGGCAGCCCCGGCGAGCGGCCGGGCACGGCGGGAGACACGGAGTAGCCGGGCGGGCCGGGCTCTGTCGCACTTCGAGGCTCCGGGGCCGGGCTCTCCTCGGGCTCCGGGGAGTCCTGCAAGGACACGCCCCGCAGGGGTCAGAGGACAGTCCGCCCAGCCTGGGAGCGCGCCTGGTGTCGGAGCTCGCTGGAATTCCGAGGGGAGGCGCCCGGTTCCCTCTGCACGCCCCCCTCCTGGAAGGGGCAGACAGAGGTCTGGTTTTTCTGGCAATATGCCACACTGAGCATGGGGCCTCCTGGCACATAATAGGTGTTCAGTAAATGTTGAAATGCGATTTTTTTCCTTTACTCTCCTCTTTCCACCGGTCATGGACAGCCTGGGACAGAGTCAGTTGTGCAATAGGGTGGAAATCACCAGAACTCGTGCCCAATGACCTAGGTTTGAAACTTAGATCTGCCACTCATTCACTTGTTTAGTCCTGAGCAAGTCATTTAACCTCACAGCCTTGTTTTTCTAATCTCTAAAATGGTCATGACACATATATTTCACAGGGTTACTCTGAGTACTATAAAGCAGGGGTCCCCAGCCTACAGGCCAAGTACTGGTACTGGGCTATGGCCTGTTAGGAACGTAACGGCAGAGCAGCAGGTAGGCAGTAGGCCAGAGAGCAAAACTTCCTACGTATTTACGGCCGCTCCCCATCGCTTGCATTATCGCCTGAAGTCCACCTCCTGTCAGATTAGTGGCTGCACTCGGTTCTCATAGGAGCACGAACCCTATTGTGAACTGCACATGTGGGGATCTAGGTTGCATGCTCCTTACGAGAATCCAATGCCTGATAATCTGAGGTGGAACAGTTTCATCCCGAGACCACCCCCCACCCCCACCATCCATGGAAAAATTTTCTTCCATAAAACCGGTCCCTGATGCCAAAAAGGTTGGGGACTGCTGCTATAAAGGGATAGGATGATGGTATGGCTCTCTAGCACCAGGCATGTGGGAGGGGCTCACTGTATGTTTCTGGGCACACAGCCCAGAGCTGCTCACCTTGTCCTTCAGGATATAGAGTGCCATGGGGTTCTTCCGTTCCTGCTCACCACTTCGAGGGAGGGTGTCTGCTGCACATGGGAGAGAATGGGTGGCTGGCTCAGGTACAGACTCTCCACCCCAGCTGGCACCTACTCTCTGTGTTCCCTAACTGGCCGGCCACAACCTCCACCAACATATCTGAATATCCTGTCTCCTACCTTGGCCAAACCTCTCCCTCCTCTGCAGTCTTTGTGCAGTTGGTGGAGGAAGGGGCCCTGCAGAGCTCGTTTCCTTGTCACCCAGTTCTGTCTTTTCCCAGCAGCCCACTGACACTCAGTGTCGATGGGATGGATGAGTGGGTGGCTGGGAGCTCACCTTCTGGTTTCAGGCGGTCATCATTCTGATCCATGTATTCCAGGGAGTTTTGCTTCTCTAGCTTCTTCTGTTTCCTGTGAATCAATCCAGCCCCACCATGAGCCAAACTATTGAATGTGAGAAGGAGAAGATCTAATGGGGACACAGGGAAGAATCTGATGGCCATAAAAGAGGCCTTGTGACAGGAAGATGGGCTGGGTACAGTTCATGAGCTTTGGAATGAGCCACATCTAGGTTTGCACCTTGAGTCTGTCACTAGCATTGTGACTGTGGGCAAGTCATTTAACCAATTCGAGTCTCAGTGTCATTATCTGTAAACTGCAGATAATCAAAAGGTAGCAGGCTAACCACAGCCACAGTACCTGGCCCCAAAAAAGGTGCTGGGCAAGTGAAAAGCTACTGTTACTGGGCTAGGGTTGTGGGGCTTGGAGCACAGGATGCTGCTGCACACGCAGTGGTAGACTGGATCTCTGGGGAAGAGATACAGAGCCCTGGGAGGAAAGCCATGTAAAGAGACTTCAGATAGGGCTTAGGTTTGGGATGGATTGAAGGACTCGGGTGCTCAGGAGAGTTACCCAGACCTTTTGGAGGGTTTCCAGCAGGCACAGACTGTCACCAAGGTCACAAGGAGGAAGATGCCTCCTGTAGACAAGATGATGTAAAGGGAGCTTCTTCCTAGGGAGAGAGAGAAGCAGAGAGGCAGGAGAAACTTCAAAGGGGCAAGGTGTGGTGAGCAGAGCATCCTGCCATGGAAGGAAGAGAAGGGGAGCCCCAGGCCACATGCCTGGCTGATGGTGGTGGTGGAGCTTGCACAGAACCCACTGCCTACCTCTTGGTGTCCTCCATGGACAGTTTGTCCATCTCTGTCCCCTCCCCCCCAGTGACACTCTTTGGGTTGTCCTCAGTCTCTCATGGTCACCTGCCTCTTGGGGCTTTAAGTACTTAAGGAAAGCCTGCAAGGAAACTCACTGTATACGGTGATCTTGATGGGCAGGCTGCGGCCCTGGCTGATGGGGTTCTCCACCACGCAGCTGTACAGGTCGTCGTCCTCCATGAGCACGCGCGTGATGGTGAGCACCTTTTGGTCAGGGGACAGGAGCATTCTCGAGTCATTGAGGAGGGGCTTGCCATCCTTCAGCCAAGTGTAGCTGGGCTTGGTACCATTCTCGTGAGAGCAGTTCAAGGTGAAGGCCTCACTGAGCTCCAGCACAGTGGTCGAAGCCACCAACACCTGCGGCCTAGAAATGGGCACTGAGCCGCAGGAACGGGGGAGCCTGTGAGTCATTGGCTAAGAAATGTCCCCCTTCCCCTTTTCAGCTCGCGGCCTTCCAACACACCTTTAACACTGCCTTCCAACTCAATCTGTGGGCTGAGAAGACTTCAGGCATCCTAAATCCAGTCCTTTCCCATCATTTATTTCATTTGTTTCACCATTTATGGAGCACTAACTAGGCACAGTGGGTAAATTCTGAACAAGGCACACATGGTGTTGCCCTCGTTCCCTCTTTCCAAATGCCTTCCCAAGACCACTGGGCTTTAATGTCTTAAACTGACCTAGCCAGGAAGATATTTTAGTTGGGCTAAGCATAGGTCCAAGTGCTTAGGTTAAAATCTTGGCTCTATCACTTCTAGCTGTGTGACCTTGGGCAAGTTATTCAACCTTTCAGTGGCTCACTTTCCTCATCTGCAAAATGGGAATAATGATATTAACTATCCCGATTTAATGAGTCAACATATGCAAAGCGCTTAGAATAGTTTCTGGCACATGGCAATCACACTACATGATTAGCTGTGCTGTGCCTGTCTGCCAACTTCTAGCGTCCACTTGCCTCAGTCTCAGCTTCCAAGTGCCTTTTGGGTTGGTTTTCCCTTGGTCTAGTTGGTGCGCTGGGCAGACCCTTCCCCAGTCCCACCTGCCAGTCTTGCCTCTTTCCCTGCCAGAGCACTTTACCATCTACAGTAAGGTTGATGGTCTTCTCCCCAGTGAAGGTGTCATCGGTGATGGAGATCTCGACCTCATAGGTGCCTTCATCAGCCAGCTGCAGGTCGCTGAGAAGCAGGGAGCCATTTTCGAAGAGCCGGATACGGTCTCGATAGTCAGGCCGCAGGGTGCCGATGATCTCCGTGCCAATGGACTGCACCACGGTTACTGGCTTGTCACGCTTCAGCTGCCACTTCACTACAGGCTTGTCGCTGCTGGTACTGCTGTACTGCACAGAAAGCAGAGCCGACTTCCCCACGGTGCCATGGATGAGGCGCACGGGGCTGGTAATGTTCACCCCCTCCAGGGGGTCTGTGAACAGAGACCCATGAGGAAGAGGGCAGCATCAGGCCCTGGGCTCCTTAGCCCACTCCCAACTTTAAGCCCTCTGAGCTCCCAAAGCCTTGCCTGTCTGGCTCTTGACTTCCTGCCAATCCTGGCTGCTTCCCCCTTGGTGCTATCTCTTCCTCCATGGTAGCTCCGTGCACCTCTGCCCCTGTGTCCTCCCTCACAGTCATCCCATGGCCCTCAATCCTTCTTCCACCTGGCCCTCTGCCTCCCTAGCAGTTTGTCCATTGCCTTCCTCTTGTGGAAGATTCTAGTTCACCCACACCCTAGGCGATCCATTGATAAAAATATTTATTGAATATCTCCTATGTGCCAGACACTTTTCTATGTCTTTAGGATATATCAATGAGCAAAACCGACAAAAATCCCTATCTCATCTGAAGCTTATAGTCATTAGACCTCTGGGTGAATTTGTCAGATCTTCTCGATTGGGGATTGGGAGGGTGAGATGGAGATAGCATGGGAACATAGGTTCACAAAGAAAGGAGCAAGTCATGAGACAGTGCCAGTAAAGGGAAAGCTTAGGGGCCTGAAGACAACTTGACCACTTTCTAGTTATACTAAGAGCCTCCCCCATCTTTTCTGTAGATGCGTGTAGCATCTTACTAGGCCACTCAGTGAAGAACAGTTCTGCAAGTAGGAAGGTGGTTTTGGGAATTCACCTGAACTCCAGCCCAATCTGTACCCCTAGAAGTGGGATTTGGGATGGGTAGAACAAAGAGCTTAGAATCAGAAAAGCTTTGTCCCACTGGGCTCTAGCTCTTACTGGCTATGTGGATTTGAGTACATAATCGTTTTAAGGCTCATTCTTCTCATTTGTAAAATAAGGATAATAATAACAACAAGGCGGGGTGTGGTAGCTCACGCTTGTAATCGCAGCACTTTTAGAGGCCAAGACGGATGGATCACCCGAGGTCAGGAGTTCCAGACAAGCCTGGCCAACATGGCGAAACCCTGTCTCTACTAAAAATACAAAAAATTAGCCGGGCATTGTGGCATGTGTCTGTAGTCCTAGCTACTCTGGAGGCTGAGGCACGAGAATCGCTTGAACCGGGGAGGCAGAGGTTGCAGTGAGCTGAGATAGTGCCGCTGCACTCCAGCCTGGGTGACAGAGGGAGACTTCATCTCAAAAAAGTAAAAAATAAAAAAAAAAAATAACAACAGCAACTGCCTTATCAAGTTCACAGGATTGGAAAATACAGTATGCATATTAGTCATTGTCATACAGCAGAGAGAACACAAAATTGAGCAGAGTTTTGGGCCTTATTATTGATACATGACTTAGGAGGGTCCCATCTGTTTGGAACTCAGATTCCCTATACATAACAGAAGTAGTAGGCTAGATGGTCTCATTGGTTTGTTCCAGCCCTGTAAATCTGGGATTTTACCACTTGTGCAATGGATGCTATATCCAGAGACACATCTCACATCTCAGAGACCTCTTAGGAGCTTTGAGACTTGAATAGATGCTGTTATTTGGTGTCACCTGGCCTTGTAGAGCAATCCAACCACCTGAAGGAGGGTCTTCTGGAGAGCATGCCAGTTGGGCGGAGGGCTGAGTTTAGCTGAATAGGCACGTACACGCCAGATTCTCGGTCCCTCTGCACCTCCTGCCACTTCCTTTGACTGTCATTCCCTGTGAAGCTCCCTCTTTCTTTCTCACCCTTGTTTCTCACTCTGCTGCTGCTCCCATTCAGTGTTGAGGAAACTGAGCTGTACCTTTTCATTCCTTATGTCTCTCCTTGTGCTTAGAGGACACAGACCAAACCAAGAGACGATTAAACTAAAAGGTTGGTGGTGAAGATTAAAGCAAATTTTATTTACTAAATATATTAGATCCATTTTTGGAACAAGTGATTTGCCAAGTAGTGAGCTCCTCATCTTTGGAAATGGTCAAGGAAAGGCCAGTTAGCTGTTTTTTCACTTGCTGGGCCTCAGCTTCCTCCTCTGTATAATGAAGAAGCAGGACCAGAAGATCTCTAGGTGCCTTCTTAGCTCTGACTTTTTTTTTTTTTTAAGACAAGATCTCACTGTGTCACCCAGACTGGAGTGCACTGGCGCAATCTTGACTCATTGCAATCTCTGCCTCTCAGGATCTAGCTATCCTCCTACCTCAGCCTTCCAAGTAGCTGGGACCACAGGCATTTGCCACTGTATCCAGCTGGTTTATTTGTTTATTTATTTTTTGAAGAAACAGGGTTCACCATGTTGCCCAGGTGTCTGGTCTTGAAATCCTGAGCTCTGGCAATCCACCCATGTTGGCCTCCCAAAGTGCTGGGATTACAGGCATGAGCCACCACACCCGGCCCAAGCGCTGACATTCTGTGATCCACTACCTGCCAGAAATGTTAGAATCAAAAAAACCTAAAAGTAAAAGAAACTGGCTAGGTGGGGTAGAACACACCTGTAATCCCAGCTACTTGGGAGGCTGAGGCAGGAAAATCACTTGAACCTGGGAAGTGGAGCTTCCAGTGAGCCAAGATAGCACCACTGCACTCCAGGCTGGGCAACAGAACAAGACTCCGTCTCAAAACAAACAAAAAACAAAAAACAAAAACAAAAACAAAACAAAACAAAAGAGCAGAAGAGACAGCTCTAATGATCAAAGCTAAATGTGTGAATATCTGAATATCATATGCTTGCTGTTGAATGAAAATCTTAATTTGGGGCAGGCAAAATGAACAACATAAACTATTTTCAGACTTTTAAAAATTAACAATACTGTCTTCCCACAAAATCTTAAATAAAAATGGAAAGAAATGAAATATGGTTCCATCTCACGTGCTTTGGTAGAAGAGGTGCTGGGGATGAGTCCTGTCCCTCTCAGTAACCCAAGGAGCGACTAGGAATCCCTATCAGCTCTGTGCATCAGACCAAAGTCCATTTGGCCACATGATCCATAAGGTTTTTTTTAATTCTTAGTTTCTGTGATTATTTAAATGGGATCTCCTGCCTATCAACTGATAGGTCCAAGGCATGGCTTGATTTAGAAAAGCAAACTTTCAAATTTCCCTTTTTAGGCAAATAGGCATAGGCTTTGGTATGTATAACAAAAGGTGGCCCTGAAAAAAGGCATGAGCTTGATTAAAGGCCCTGGAGTGATGATCAAATAGCTGGGGAACATCTACCCCCCTTTCTCGAGACCCAGTGTGTAGCAGTGTGCTGTGCATGTGAGGATTATGTATGCAGAGCCACCCTGGAGTTAAGTAAATTGGTGTGTAAAAGGAAAATAAATCTTGGGGCCCCCAAATCACTAAGCTAAAGGAAAAAGTCAAGCTGGGAACTGCTTATGGCAAACCTGCCTCTCATTCTATTCAGTCACCCCTCTGCTCACCGAGATAAATGCATATCTGATTGCCTCATTTGAAAAGACGAATCAGGAACTCAAAAGAATGCAACAATTTATCTCTTAGTCTCTTATCTGCCTATGACCTGGAAGCCCCCTCCCTGCTTACAGTTGTCCCACCTTTCTGGACCAAACCAACGTTCATCTTATATATGTTGATTAATGTCTCATGTCTCCCTAAAATGTATAAAACCAAACTGTGCTCTGACCGCCTTGGGAACATGTCATCAGGACCCCCTGAGGCTGTGTCACGGGCACGCATCCTCAACTTTAGCAAAACAAACTTTGTAAATTAACTGAGACATGGATCTCAGATAGTCAGGGTGCACAGGTGTAATGACCCCAAGCACCAAACTTTGAGGAGTCTCATTTCCTTCTTCTAGGAGTCTGGACAGTGAAAACCTCAAAAAAAGTGGAAGGGATTTCTTCTTTCCCTTCTATCTTCTGTGGCCTCCTGGAGCTTCCCTGGCTTCCATGCTCTCCTATCCCATCCAAAGTCCTAGTAGCCTTTTCGCGATATATTTCTCCCTGAAGCCTTTCTGCCAATTTAAAGTTGATATTTCTGGATGAAAATATTGGCGAAGCTACGGCCTATAGATTGACGTCTCACCAACCTATAGATAAGTCCTCTCATTGTGCCTGTGATCATGGGTATGTCCATGGGTCAAAAGGATGTATTCACACGTGTTCATAAGTGAATGAAAGAGTCTTTCTTGACAGCTGATAGAGCAGTTTGCTGAGCAAACAGTTTCCCAAAAACTCTAACCAAAATCATACTCTGTATTAAGTTCAGGTTCCACAGCTTTCAAGGGACACAGAGAACTGGGACAAGAGCCAAAGTATGACATAAAAATGAGGAAATAGCTCACAACTAAGGTCCAGAGTGGAAATAAATGGACTAGGACCACTCAACCTTGAGAAACGATTAACTTAATCATTGTCTCTGAGGCATCAGGAGGTAGAAAGTTTCTGTTCCCACCAGAGGCTGAAGGAAAGGAAATTGAGATCTCAGCAAGATGTACCCTATCACCCTCAACAATATGGTACTGGGGTAGGGTGGGGCCTTTCCTCAAGTAGGATTTTGAGCTGCTGTGACGCCTGGGAATGTCACACTTTAGGGTATAAGAAAGCACCTGCAGACAGCCTTGGCTTTTCTTATTAGGGTCTTCCCTTAGAGAAATCACCATCCATTCATTTTTACCTGCCCACTTTGCTGGGTCAAAGTTTCCTTTCACCAGTATTTGTCTTAAATTTACCTTTTAAAAGTGTCAATAGGGGTGGTGCCAAATGTGTGTTCTAGGATTTGGTCTATACACACCTTATCTATATTCCCTAACACCAAAGACTGCTGCCATGTCCCTTTGCATCTGAAAAGTTTTTTGTTTAGTTTGGGTCTATCTCCACAAAGAAATCTCCTCATCCTATGGCCATCATAGGTACCCTTCCCTGGGCTTTCTCCAACTGTATTATTTCCTTTTATGGTGTGGTAGCCAGAACTGCATCTAATAATCCAAGGACAGAACACTTCGGTTTCCTAAAAGGAAAACATACTGTTTCTGCTTTTGATTTTTAATATATATATATTTTTTTGAGACAGAGTTTCACTCTTGTTACCCAGGCTGGAGTGCAATGGCACGGTCTCGGCTCACCGCAACCTCTGCCTCCTGGGTCCAGGCAATTCTCCTGCCTCAGCCTCCTGAGTAGCTGGGATTACAGGCACGCGCCACCATGCCCAGCTAATTTTTTGTATTTTTAGTAGAGATGGGGTTTCACCGTGTTGACCAGGATGGTTTCGATCTCTTGACCTCGTGTTCCACCCGCCTCGGCCTCCCAAAGTGCTGGGATTACAGGCGTGAGCCACCGCGCCCGGCCCTTGATTTTTAATATTATTCTTAATTAATGAGGATCTGAGAAAACCACCCCCCTCCTCTGCTGTTCTATAGGTGCATCACTCATAGTATAGATGTTGGGGCTGCTGTGTTGTATTCTTATGTTGCTATCCTGTTGAGGCCCACAAATCATTTGAAGTGCCAATTATTCAGGGGTATAAGAGAAACCCAGGAAAGAGAAATTGTGAAGAAGGCTTTTGGGATCCAGGAACTGGTAGCTTTTTATCTACAATCTAAGGATTGTAGATATTCAGGAATGTGTACCTAGTTAATAGGTATTAAGATGGCATACAGAGATTTACCACGTTTTTGGACCGAAATAATTACTCCTGTTAAGTTGTCAATTCTCCTTAACTGATTTATAATTTAATACATACAAATCAAAATCCCAGGAAGTTTACTTTGTGATCTTCACACAAAGATAGACAAATAGGTCAACAGAAAGTCTGAAAACAGATTTAAATATGATTGCTCAAATGATGACAAAGGTGACACTGCAGTACAGGAGAAAAGTGCTTTTCACAAAACAGTGCTGGGGCATCTGGGATAAAAATGAATTGACCCTTACCTCACACCTTACACAAATATTAATTTTGGATGGATTACAGATCTAAATGTTAAAGGCAAAACAACAACATTTGAAAAAGAAAACAGACCATATCCTTGACTTGAGGGGAGACACAAGATCTCTTATAAAGGACACAAAAGTGGTAACCATCAAAGAAGGAAATGATACATTAGACTCAATAAAATTAAGAGCTTCTATTCAGCAAAAGATAGTCTTTAGAAAGTGAAAGGCAAACCATAAAGTGGGTGGAGATATTTGCAATGCATATATCCTATAAAAGGCACATATGCAAAACATATATTTTAAATGCCCACAAAACACATTTTAAAGAAATTCAAACAATGCAATAGGAAAATGGGTACACTAATTATGATGGAAATAAAATTTTAAACCTTTTTTTTTTTTTTTTTTTTTTTTNACAAGGTGTCACCCTGTTGCCCAGGCTGGCATGATCATACCTCACTGCAGCCTCAAACTCCTGGGCTCAAGAGATTCTCTTGCCTCAGCCTCTCAAGTAGCTGGGACTGCAGGAACATACCACCACACTCAGCTAATTAAAAAAAAAATTTTGTAGAGACGAGGTCTTACTACATTCCCTAGGCTGATCTTGAACTCCTGGCCTCAAGCAATCTTTGTGCCTTGACCTCTTAATGTGCTGGGATTACAGATGTGAGCCACCACACCAACCTTAAACCAGAATTTGATAGCAGCTCATATCCACTAGGATGGCCAAAATGAAAAAGAAAAAATACAATTATTGGTGAAGATATGGATCATCTGAAACTCATACATGTTGATAGGAGTGTAAATTGATATAATTATTTTTGAAACTGTTTTGCCATACCTACGAAAGCTAAATACACATATACCCTATAATTAAGCAATTCTATTCCTAGGAGTATCCCCAAAAGAAATACCCATATCTGTTCTCCAAAAGATATGTACTATTATAGAATGCATAATATTGACAACTCTATTCATAAAGCCCCAATGGGGCTAAGTTGGTTGGGTTGTTTAGAAACAAGCAAAGTGTCTGTCAAAGTTGAATAGAGAAATAAATTGTGGTATATTCACACAATGGAATGCGATACAGCAGTGAGACCAAACAAACTACAAAAACAACATAGATGAATTCTACAAACTTGGTGTTCAGCCATGGAAGAATGAATACATATGATACCACTTATAGAAAGACATGCACAATTAATTTGTATTAAAAGTTAGGACACCATTGTAATCCCAGAGGGAAAGCAGTAGTAACTGAGATAGTATGAAGGTGATTCTGAGGGGCCAAAATGTTTTACTTATTGATTTGGGGGTTGATTACATGGGTTTGTTAACTTTTTCAAGGCTCACAAAACTGTATCTTTATGCTAAATGTATTTTCTCATATGTAATTTTTAATGACAATTTAAAAAATGACAGCACCTACAATGCAGAGGTAAACTTGGAGCTACAAAGCTTGGAACCCAGGTAAGAGACTTGTTTCTATTGGGTCCCTAGGGATGGAATAGTTCTTGGATTCCAGAGAATGAAACCTTGAAAATAAGATTACCTAGACTGACGGCATGCTGTGTTTATGTCTGTCAGATAATGCCCTGGTCTCTAGAAAATTCTTATGTGAATGTTTGTTAAATTGGAATTTAAAAATCGGGAAATAAAAATGATAAATTTAGAAAAGCCTCATTTGTCCATGTCAGGGCCGGAGTGTTGAAGACTGTATGTTCTGTGCCTCAGGGTTAGCTCGGTGTTTTCTGCCACGGCACAAGATTAAGGTAAATCTTGGGGAGCCAGAGCCACATGGTCCAGTCTCCCCTTTAGTGCCAATCTTAAAAAATGCATTCCCCAGCCAGCGTCCCTTGCTGTTAAGTATGGCCAAGTGACTGAGTTGTAGCGGACAGAACTAGTGTAAGTGATATGTAACACTTGCAGACCTTGTTTAACAAAGCCTTTCTTGTATGTTTCACTGTTAAAAATAAAATAAAATAAAATAAAATAAAATTCTCTACCTGGAAGAAATGGAGATAAACCTCAGGGTGATCTTTGGAAGCACATGTCAAAGTTGATAGGGCTCCATTGGCTTGGTCCCTGAAAAACTTCATGGAGTAGAGTCCTTCCTCTTCCCAGGCCTACTCTGAAACTACAATGGACTATCACATAGTTAATACCAGGAACTTAAATTTTGGAATTTATTGGTCCCAGAAGCAGATATTTTCCTAAAAAATATATTAAGAATGGCAGAGATTCCTGGAATCTCAGCTCGTATTACTCTTTATTCCACAGCAGTACAATGGCCTCTCCCAGCACTTACCTCTTATCATAGGTCATTAACTAATATAATATTTGCATAGCTTAAATTATATACATATTTATTATTATTGTTTTTGAGAAAGGTTCTCACTCTGTCACTCAGGTTGGAATGCAGTGGCATGACCATGGCTCACTGCAGCCTTGACCTTCCTGGTTCAAGCAATCCTCCCACCTCAACCTCCTGAGTAGCTGGAATTACAAGCTTGCACCACTAGGTTTGGCTAATTTTTAAATTTTTGTAGAGACGGGGTTTTGCCATGTTGCCCAAGCTGGTCTCAAACTCCTGGGCTTAACGCCATCCACCCGCCTAAGCCTCCCAAAATTCTGAGATTACATGAGCCACTGCACCTGGCCACATTTAGAATGTTTTGGTGTATTCACTAAGTTACATTTTTTCACACAGAATATCCTTGATCACCTTTTGTTTTGTCCCAATCTCACTGACTGACATGATCTTTCTGTAATTTTTTTCCTTATCATTTGCTGGCCAGAAGGAATTTAGGGCCATTTCTGCTTTGTATATTTGTGCCATTCCTATCCTCAATTCACTGTCTGCATACCGTCAGCTCTAATTCTTTCTTCAGCCCATTGTCACTTCACCAAAGCCAACGGTTACCTCTTAATTGCCTAACCAATGGGCTCTTTCAGGTCTTTGTCACATTGGATCTCTCTGACACATTTGATGGTGTGGATTTCCTCCTGAAACTCTCAACTCCCTTGATCTTCTGGATAGTACCGCAGGCTTCTAGTCCTGTCTCTCTGACCGTTCCCTCTTTGTCTACTTAATGGGCATTTCTTCCTCTGCCTTCCTCTACAAATCTTGAGGTTATATGATGTTTCATTTTCATCCCATATTTTCCCCCTCCTAAGTAATATTATCTGTGCTTATAGTTTTAACTCTCACCTATGGGCTGACAGCTGCCAAATACCTCTCTCCAACCCTGACCTCTCTGCCACCCAACTCCAGGCTATGTAACATCTTCACATGGAAGCCTCACAGGTATTTCAATCTAAACATGTATGATACTCATCACCATATCCGTCAACCCTGTCTCATTTTTTTTGTTTAAGATTTTACACAGGAATCCCCCCTTCTTCCCTGGATCCTCCTACTTCCTACAGGTCACTAGCTCCTGATTTACCTCTAAAACATTTTCTCAACATGCCTAATTTCCTCTATCTTTATTATAATTTCAGTCCATGTTACTCCTCTTATTTCTCTCCTGGTCTACTGCAATAGCTTTGGTATAGGCTGACCTGTGTTCCCCTCAAATTCATATGTTGAAGTCCTAACCCCCAAGTACTTCTGAATGTGACCTTGTTTGGCAATGGGTCACCACAGATCTAATAAGAAGAGATCATACTGGAGTTGGGTGGACCTACTCTAGCATGTGTCCGTATAAAAAGGGGAAACGTGGACACAGACGTGCAAATATGGAGAATGCCATACCAAGACTGGAGTGATGCTGACACAAGCCAAGGAATTACCAGAAGCTAGGAGAGAACCCTAAGGCAGAGCCCTCCCCAGAAGCTTGAGAGGGAGCGTGGCCTTGCTGACACCTCGATCTCCCACTTCTGGCTTCCAAGACTTTGGGACAATGTATTTCTGTTGTTTAAGCCACTCAGTTTGTGGTATTTTGTTACAGGAGCCCTAGAAAATGAATACAAACTTCCTTTCTTACTTTATTTGCCACCGGTTTCCCCTCCAATGGCTCCCTGAAGACTGAGTGAGTTATCCGAAAGGTACGTGTAAGCCTGACAGTCCCCAAATTAAAAACCGCTCACCACCCCCCAACCTCTCAACACCCAGAATATGAATCTGGTTTACAAAACTCTTGCCTAACTCAATTCATGCTTTTCTCTCCAGCAGTGATGAAATGCTGGGCTGGGATTAAATGCTTGATGTTATTTCAAGCTCTTGACCTTTGCCCATTTACCAACCCTAATGCCCATTCATACTCCTACCTATTTTCCCATCTTTTAAAATTCAGTGCACACATTCCTTCTACAAGGAAACCTCCCCCTGATATTCCCACACTCTGTGTCCTACCCTACCAACCCCCCACCACCAGCATCAGCTTCCTGGATGGGGTAGGTGACCTTTCTCTGATTGCTATGCATTCTCTGCATAATTGACTTATGATAGTTCCTGCAGTTTAGTAAAATGATCTCTGCATCTGTTTGCCCCATGAAGTTGTGAATTCTTAGGTGCTCTGCAATTGTGTGTGTGCATAGGTGTTTGTACTCATAAACAGGTATATTTAAATAAGATCACTTCTGGAAGGAGTTGGTAGGGGGCAGTAGAGGAGGTAGGCAGCTAAGGTGTGGAGTGAATTATGGCTAGGTTGGTATGACTATCTCACACTAGGAGGCTCATTATCTCCAAAGCTTCTTTCATTTGCCTTACTCTTTTACACTCAGAGAAGCCGGAGTGGGGGGCTGGGGAAGGACAAAAAGATTTCCCCTACTCCCACCCCTCGTGCCCCACCACAATTCCTTGGAAAGAATGCTGGACTGGCCCACGCCAGCAAGTCATCCCATATGAAATGGCCCAGTGCCTGCCATCTAATGTACTGAATGCCGTGGGAGCTCCAAAGCCATGCAGCCTTTTGGGGGGGAAGGGGCAGGGGCCGCGCGGGAGGCACACGGAATGAAGTAATATATTCAACGCTAATGCCTGAATCTCTGAGAAGCTTCCCACAGCAGCTGAGCTCTCCCTTACTCCCGCCCCAAAGGCATTCAGGCCCTCCACTCTCCCCTCCCTTTGCTGTAAAAGCCCCGGGTTCTTTCTCCAGACCCTTCCTTACCCTTCCGACCTCCTACCTGTCTGGATCAGAAGAAGGTAGACAAAAGGAGCGAGGCGCAGGGCCCTGGAGGCTCTGGACAGGGCTCCCCTTTCTCTCTTCATTTTGGGTGGCGTTCTCCAGCTCTGGTGCAGACAATTAGCATGATTTCTCCACTCTGGGCACGTCTCCTTTGTACCACTCGGAGTTTCTCTGCCCGAACACAACCCTGCCAACTTCCCTCTGAATACACAGAGCTCTGTGTATTGCTGGACTTGTTCTTTCCTCTCCCTCAGACCTGGCATTTTCTAGTTTCCAAGCCCTACATCCCCAGTTTGGAAGAGTGTATCTGCTTAGGAGATAATCTCCAACTCAGGTTCCAACATGGGGGCGCCCACAGCCCAGCAGTTGGTTGCTGGTCTGTGCTGAGCCCCACTTCCAGGGGAGATGAGGATCGGGGTTCAGTCAGGGCACTGAGCTGGGACACACACTTAATCGGACCTTGTGTCCCAACCTACCCTGTCTCCACCTCACACTCCTTTTCCCTGAGGAGGAGGGTACATGCCAGGACAGACCTCCAGTAAGCTCTGAAAAGGGAGGGAGAAGAGCTGTTAAAAATCTGGGAAGTGAAAGACTCCAGAGAATTGCTGAAGAAATGGAAAACTCCCGTTCCAACCCAAAGGAAGAAGACTGGAAAATCACTTGAATTCTATTACTTTTACACTTGCCTTTCTCTAACTTGGAATTTTATCTTCTATCATAGAATCACATAGATGCTGGACACCTCTTTCCAGAAGCCACTCTGTTCATTCCCCTGCTTCCAGCCAATTTTCTAGAACGTGTCAGAGCAAAAGGAAGGTAATGTCCTAACAGCCAACATCCTGGGGTTCTCTGTTATCAGCTTAACAGCCTAGCTGCGCCCTCCTGTCTCGAGGCTGTGAAGAGGAGAAACACCCTAGCTCCACACTGACCCCCATTCACGTGTTCACACCTTTTCATGAAGGCGGCCAAGGGAATGGATGCCTAGTGACTGTGATCTAGGTGGAATGGGCTCGCAACCTCTTTCAGCCTTCAATTTCTCATCTGTAAAATGGGGAAAAGAATCGCTTCCTTGGGAAGAATTGTTGGGAGGATTGATGAAGATTTGGCACAGAAGATTACCTAGCAAATCTTTGTTACAGAGATGACATTTTAAACTTTTTAAAAATTGCCTTGTTTCTTTTTTCATTCATGCAGGGATCTTTCTATTTTGGGGAGATCAAACTTCACAACTTCCTTCTTGGTCATCCCAAACCCTGGTCTTGGTTTTGTAAATGCAGAAATTATCTCTCTAAATATTCTCTTTACAGACTGGAGAAAGCCTAAGTAGGTCAGCTTTCTAGAACTGAAGCATTATTACATAGCCCTTCTGAGCCTAGGCAGAGGGAGAAGAGTTGGGAAGCACTGAACTTCACAGAACTCTCTGAAAATATTCTAAAATATATAAAGGGGATTCTTTTTTCCCTTTGCATCTCTGTGTTTATGACTTTTCCTTAGACAACCCCAGGCACCTTTCTTCCACTGGAAGAGTTAATGTTATTATAGCAGGTACACAAAAAGAAAGAGTCAGTTTTCAGCTTCTGACATTTAAATAGCATTTCAAAGTCCATAGCAAGATGAAAGGCTTAGCCAGTCTTTGTAAGGGACAAAAGAGTATTCTAATTTCTTTTTTCTACCCCTTGACTTATCAGGGAGCAGCCTGTGGACTGGAGCACAGAGTCCTCTAGAGTGTGGATAAGTGGCCCCTTTGCCTGTGATGTCTAGGCCTGAGGCTTCTGGATGGGAGTAAAGGAAGGATAGGATATAGTGTTCTGGAAATAAAAAAACCCTGAAGTTTGCTCCTGTTATCCTGAAGCACTGTGGAAAGAAAAATGTGTTAGAGGGAGACTAAGAGGACCTAAGCTCTCAATATCCCTACTTCCCTGAGCCACCCAGAGGTGGCTTTTTGTGCCTGCACAGAATTTGCAAGGGCTTCTAGGTGCCCAGAAGCCCTTGAAGAGACTCAGAAGTGCTGGGAAGGTAGAGAGCTGGCAGGAAACAGAAGATTGAGCAAAGGCACTGTCATGTACAGGGGTTCTGAGGCCAGAGGGAACACCTGGGGCCACCTACTGCTGTAGGTGGGAGCCACAGGTAGCTTATCAGGCCAGGAAAGAATGTGGACTCTGAGTAGATACCAGGGGGAAACCTGAGAATACTACACAGGTCCACAGACACTGTGTCCCCCTGTTGCCACAAGGTTGCTTCAGCCACACCACCTATATTTACCCCAACTCTTACTAGAGAGGAGCTAGGGTTGGGAGAGGATGTTGGAAAGACTGCTGAAGCAATTGCCCGAGCTATCCAAGAAGAGACTGAGCTACCTAAAGACAGTGTGAAAATAGTTGGATCAGACTGGGCTTACTGAGATGGAGTGACATTTTCCTCTGCTACCCTAGTGGGTGAGAGGCCCATGTGAAAGATCACAGCAACTACAAAGACATAAAGGCATTCCCTTTCCTTTGTATGTCTGAATGTACAAGGAGCAGCTTTGCAATCCTGCTTCTAGTGACTGAGTAGGCCTTTAGAAACGTATAATCATCTGCTTATGTGCCTTTCTTTCCAAAGAAACAGAGAGCCCTTTGATTTAAGAGCCATCTTATTTGTCTCTCTGTCCCTAGTACCTAATACAGGGCAGGACACATAGTAGGTGCTCAGCAGGCAGTAGCTGAATATTGGATGGATGAGCCCTTGCCCTAGCTCTTTTAGAGGGGCTTCTCAAGCAGCTGGACAACTGGGGGTGGGGGAGTGAGCGAGTAAGGCCCAGAACGATGACAGACCAGTTTGTGGACACATATGAGGGATCCCTCGGGAATTTCCAGAAATAATCGGGGCTCACTTTGAGTGGGGACACTGATCCAATAGGCAATTGACTTTCAGAAAGATAAGGTAACAGCCTCACACATAACACACAGTGTTTATCTCAGCTGTCTTGGCTTGTCTTAATGTTATCCTTCCTTGTGTTCTTTGAGTTTTTTTGCTCTGGGTGTGTCTGTCTCATATAATTGTTGATGATGCTGGCTGTTTTTTTAAAAAGGGATATTCTGACTATTAATGCTACATTTCTTTAACGTCATAAGTATATTTATACTTATTAGTTCATATGTCCAATTTTTTGATCAGAAAGTGTGGTTACTGTGGCCATTTCCTCATGAGCCTGCAAGCCTCTCTGGGGCAGGGAATGTAATTCTTTATTCCCCTGGATCTCCTCATGGGGCCCAATTCTGAGCTCTGCATAATGAGACTGCTCCAACAGTGGTGTTGACAAACTGTTTGACTGATGGCAATCATCCCTTGCTCAGCCAAGGCCCACAGCCCTGCCTTCTCTGAGCACTCCGACAGATTCATTTCTGAGGCACTGTCCTCTTCTGAGCAGTGTGGCCCAGTTCTCTGGGCCCCTTCACTGCACACAGTTGCTTCAGAATACTCCTTATTTGGAAACTCCTCTGGGGCTCTGGAATCTGGACTCCTTGCCCCAGCACTGGTGGCAGCTTTGCCTGCTGGTCCTCACACCTCTGCACTGACCACCCAGACAGAGACCCTACAGCTCAGGATGGAGCCCCTCAACAGACACGGATCCACCAGCAGAAACTCAGATGTCTCTGTCTCTAGAACAGGAGGAAGAAGCAGCTAGTGATTTTTTTAAATTGTACTTTAAGTTCTGGGGTACATGTGCAAATTATACAGGATTGTTACATAGGTATACATATGCCATGGTGGTTTGCTGCCTCCATCCCCCCGTCACCTACATTAGATATTTCTCCTAATGTTATCCCTCCCCAATCTCCCCACCCCCCTGCTATCCCTCCCCTAAACCCCCTCCCTCCAACGGACCCCAGTGTGTGATATTCCCCTCCCTGTGTCCATGTATTCTCATTATTCAACACTCATTTATGAGCAAGAACATGTGGTGTTTGGTGGAAGCTAGTGATTTTAACTGAATCACCATCCTATGCAAACATCTGTGAGAGCTGGCCAAAACAACAAAGAAACAAACAAATAAAAAAGAAGGCTAAGAAACTGTAAAACTGAATTTTGTCTCCCAAGAACTAAAGGTCTTTTAACAGTCACAGAGTAGTGGACTCACTGTGCAGCAACAAACATTTGAGATAATCTTGTCTCATTTCTTCATTTGTCAGATGAGGAAACCAAGGAATAGCAGGGTAAGTAATTTGCCCAGAGGTAAATCTACTGATGGACCCAGGACTCTGACGTTACTTAAAAACAAATGAACAAGAAAAAAACCATTTAAAAAATAGTTACTTACTAGTAAAGGCAAGAAAAAATAACACACACATGAATGACATGTGAATAAGTACCATTTTAAATAATTCTACTATTAGAGGTAAGAGTGTTCCCACCCACCTGGCCTGTTCCTCTGTCTCCAGGGAATAATGGTAATACTACAAAAGAGGTTTGGAAATTGCCCTTACTAATACTATCCCATCAGTGATGATTTTTATGTTTAGTATGCCTCCTCCTCCCCTTCATTCATTTCCTGCTATTCATTGAGCCATATCTGTCTCCTCCATTAAATTGTGATTCATCGTTAGTAGCAGAATGAGAAAAAACCTTCCAACCAATGGCACCAAAATTCCTGTGAATGAGGAAATTTTCTTTTCTTTTCTTTTTCTTTTTTTAAGATGGAGTCTCACTCTGTCACCCAGTCTGGAGTGCACTGGTGTGATCTTGGCTCACTGCAACCTCTGCCTCCCAGCTTCAAGTGATTCTCCTGCCTCAGCCTCCTGAGTAGCTAAGATTACAGGCATGCACCACCACACCCAGCCAATTTTTGTATTTTTAGTAGAGATGGGGTTGCACCATGTTGGTAAGGATGGTCTTGAACTCCTGACCTTGTGATCCACCTGCCTCTGCCTCCCTAAGTGCTGGGATTACGAGCGTGAGCCACCGTGCCTGGCTGGAATTTTCTTTAGCAAGAAAGAGATCTTGATATGCCACATGGAGTAGAAGGTAAGACCTTGAGCATTAAGAGTCAAGGAACAAAAACATAAATTGCTCCTCATTAGAAATAAACAGGAATCTGGGGGTAAGGAGAGTGCAGAGAAGAGAGAGATCAAGACAGGGAGAGGGGATGAGACATCAGCATGGTGGGGAATTGAAGAAAATTTAAGAGCAGCTTGCATTGTTACACTGTATACCTCCCCTCTTTTGTCTTCTTCAAAACTTCTTCAACTCGAAAAAACTTCTTCTTCAAAACTTTACTACACTCAAATGCAGTATATGTGTGTGCTTCTAGCCAATAGAATATGGCAAAGGTGATGGGATAGCCACTCTCTTCGTTAGCTTACAATATAGAAGACATAGACCAGAAAGAGATTGTCTAGTGTACCGCAATGGCATGAGAGGGCCCCGTGGCAAGGAACTGCTGGCCTCCTCTAGGAGTTGAGAGCAACTGTCAATCAACAGCCAACAACAACAACATTAGCAACAAAAGGGAACCACAGTGCTACAACCACTA